TTTTTATTATCAAATTGGATTATTATTAATTAAATTAGATTATTATCAAATTGGATTATTATTCATTAAATTGGATTATTCATTAAATTGGCTTATTATCAAATTGGACTATTCATTAAATTGGATTATTATTAAATTGGATTATTATCAATTTGGATTATTATTCATCACTATGTTTTATATTAGGATTATTTTTAAGATAATTGGATTATTATTCATTAAATTGGCTTATTATCAAATTGGAATATTCATTAAATTGGATTATTATTAAATTGGATTATTATCAAATTGGATTATTATTCATCACTATGTTTTATATTAGGATTATTTTTTTTATCAAATAGGATTTTTATTCATTAATATTAGGTTTTTTTATTATCAAATTGGATTATTCATTAAATTGGATTATTATTAAAGTGGATTATTATTAAATTGGATTATTATCAAAAAGGAATATTATTCATCACTATGTTTTATATTAGGATTATTTTCATGAAACATAATTATCATCATTTATAGTAGGATTATTTATATTAGGATTATTATCAAAAAGGAATATTATTCATCATTTATATTAGGATTATTTTTTTATCAAATTGGATTATTATTCATTAATATTAGGTTTTATTATTCCATATTATTTTTGTAATTACTTAAATTTTTACAATCATTTTCTTTACTTCATATTTAATTCTTCTGTAGAATAACTTTATTATTTAGGTTCTCTTATATAACCGTCATCACTACTATATTTTTTGGCCAAAAAATATTTGTTTAATTTTCATGAAAAATAAATGTAGGTACTTATACGATGTCCAGTGGAGCTACTAAACGTGATCCAGCTTGGGAACATGGATACCTAATAGACGGAAACAAATATGGCACAATTTGCAAATATTGTGGTCGGGTAATGAAGAGTGGCGGAGTGACACGACTTAAGTACCATCTTAGTGGATTAGATCCAGCAAAAAATGTCCAACGATGCGATAATGTCCCCCCAGAAGTGAAAGGCATTCATCAGCACATTATTAAAAAATAAAAAACAGCAGAAGGAAAAGATAACACAGGGAATGGAAAATATTCGAGCTGGGCTACGGGGAGAAGTCTATGGCCAAGAGCTTGACAGTGATGATGATGACGATGAGGACGAATGTGATGATGACATGGGACCTGAAGAACGACGCAGTTTGAAACAAGCATTACGTGCCTCCAAACAGTCAGCATGGGAAAGAGAACACCTTCATAAAATTCCTAATAGAGGACAAGGTTCCGGGACAAGTGGTGGTGCACAAATGAGACGGGGAGGCAGTCTTAGAGAATCACAACCAACACCACCAATAGCCCCAAGTTTATATAAGTCATCCAAAGCACGTCAAAAGAGTGTTTGGAGTTATTTCACTGGAGGTAATGTGAATGAGGGAATGGGGCGTCTAATTAGCAAGTTCTTTATCTATGAAAATGTCCCTGCTGCGAAGGCATCGTCACATCATTTAAAAAATATGGTAGTGGGATGTCAACAGGCCGTACAACCTCCCACTCCCTATGAGATAAGAAACAAATATTTGGATATGGAGTATAAAGACATTGGCGAGTATGTTAACAAGTTGAGGTCAAAGTGGGAAACTAATGGTTGCACAATCATGTGTGACGGATGGACCGGCCCGACCAGATTGTCTATCATCAACTTCATGGTATACTCCAAGGGAAAGACAATTTTTTTGAAGTCTGTTGATGCTTCAGACCATATAAAGAATTACAAGTATATTTACAAATTATTGAGGGATGTAATCATGAAGGTGGGAGAGCATAATGTTGTCCAAGTCGTGACCGACAACGGTTCTGCATTTGTCAAAGCTGGAAAAAAGTTAATGAAGCATCATAATGTGTTTTGGACATCATGTGCAGCACATTGTATTGATCTCATGTTTGAGGCAATTGGGAAGAGAGAGAATGTTGCTACTGTGGTCAAAAGAGCTAGAACGATCACAAATTATATTTACAATCACGGTTGGTTGTTGGCAAAGATGCATGAATTTTGCAAATGAGAAATTATTCGTCCATCTACCACTCGATTCGCCACCAACTATATTGCATTAGACAGCATACTCAAGAAGAAAGCAGGGTTGAAGCAACTATTCACTAGTGACGATTGGGCCAACCACAATTTGAGCCGCTCAAATACAGGTCGTATGGTGGAAAGTATAGTGCTTGATCATGCTTTTTGGACTCAATCAGAACATGTGTGCCAAGTGTTTGAGCCTCTTTACAAAGTTTTACGGATCGTTGACACAGAGGTGTATCCTACTATGGGGGCAGTATATGAGTTGATGCGTGTAGTGAAGGATGAATTGGAAAGAAAACATGGTGCAAGGTGGGTTATAAAGATAATTGAAGACCGATGGTATAAAACATTATACCACGATTTGCATGCAGCAGGTATAAATTATGTCATAATTTTGCAATTCGTTTCTTTAGTTGCATAAGTATTATTTCTCTTATTAGAGTATGTGTTTCTTTGAACAGCATATTATTTGAATCCCCGATACCAATACAGACCCGGTGTTGGAGATGATGGTAACCTTATACGTGCTGTACATAATGTATACTCTAAATTAGACCCTGCATCACCAGCAGTTGGCCAATTTGGAAATGAGGTAGACAATTACTTAAATTATAATAATTATTTTGTTGGATTAAACTAACACGATTTATTGAATTCAGCTAACATGATTTAAAGATGCAAGAAGAACTTTTGGAGAACCAACATCAGTTGCTGCTCGAACAAATATGTCTCCTAGTGAGTATAAACATATTTCACTATAAGTTTATAATAGAATTTGTTGGAGTTATTAGGCTTATCAACATTGTTTTTCATTGTAGCTGAATGGTGGATCATGTATGGGACCGATGCACCAACTGTGAGAAAGTTAGCAATCAAAGTATTATCACAAACAGCTTCCTCATCTGCTTGTGAAAGAAATTGGAGCACATTTGCACTCATACACACAAAGCAAAGAAATAAGTTGGCTCATAGTAGCTTGGAAAAATTAGTTTATTGCTACTACAACATGAAGCTTCAAATTCGAGATAAGGAAGCAGAAATAGATCATGTCGACCGTGGGGACCCACTAGATGTGTTTGATATTGTTGGTGAAGATGATGATACAGAGGGTAACCAACTTTTTCAATGGATTAGACCTCTTCATCTAGATGATGATGAAGGCAACCCAGCTCCCGGAGTTGCTGAAGAAGCACGTAATGAAGGGATAAATGTAGAAAGAGTATTAGAGGAGGAGGTGGGATCTAGCAGCTCTGACTCTTTGGAAGAACTTTTGCGCCCAAGACCAAGAAACACTGGAATTCCACCTTTTCCAATCCTACACAACCACAACATCGTGCTGATACTAATGATAGCTCTAGTACAAGATCAGGAGACTCACCTACCACCGGAGGTGGGAATGATGAAGGACATAGTGGAGCTGGAGGTAGTGGTGGTGGATATGGAAACTATTATGGATCACCACCTCCCGGATATATGAGCCCCTTCACTGGTGAGGCAAACTTCACGCATGCAACACATGATGATGACCATGGCAGTAGGCGGGCAGGACCAGGAATTGGTGCCATAGGGAAGGACTATACTCGCAGAGAAAGAGGCAAGGGGATTTTGTCAAGTCAAGAAGATGACTCGTTATCTAGAACTTCAGACTCTGTTGGATTGGGAAGTAGTAACTATGGTTATACTCATAACCAACCATTTCCCTACCCTTCATATCCCATTCCTGTTGGGATGGAATCGAGCGACTCATGGAAACAATCCCAGACTCAATTTTCAAATGATTTTTCTCATGGACAACCTCATCCAATCTCGGATCCATATGGGTGGCATGTTAACAATTACATGCAAAACTATTTTGGGGATTTATCATTTGATAACTACTCTTCACAATACACTCATTCTATACGTAGAGATGATGAAGATAGTGAAAAATTTGAACCTCATAGAAACTCTATGTGGTACTAAAGTGTAAAATATTGTACTAATTCATTATATATAAATGATTATGGTGTGTTTAGACTTCTTTCATTAATTACTACATATTTTCTACACTCACAATGTTTGTCAGCTCGCTATATAATCAACTTGATAATGTTAAATCCATCATGCAATGAATTTCTTTCCAATTTTTTGTGATAAACTAATAGATAATTGACTAAATAAACATCCTACAAAGTTTCAATAAAAATTTCCAAGTTTTTCTTACAATTTCCGTGGTTTCCATGTAATTTTTATCGATATCGATATTTTACCGATATTTCCATCGATATTTCCGTGTTTTCGGACTACCGATATTTCCGATATTACCGATATTTTCTTCCTTGGGTGGGAGAGAAAGGGATCTGGGGAGGGCAACATAGGTTGATGGGTTTTTATTGGTTTTTTTGTTTTTTGTTTTTTAATTTTTTAATGTTTAATTAATTTTTTAATAAAAATGGGTCCCGTCTCTAGTCACGTAAGCACTTAACGGAGAAATTAACAGAAAAACTGACAGATGTCTGATATTGGCACAAATTCGTAAGATGAGGTGTGACATTGTCAATTTTAAAAGATGGGGTATGGAAATGTCGCGACACCAAATAATTTTTTGTAATTTACCCTAAATAATTTAATTATTAGAGTCCAAGCCCAAGAGCCCCAAGGTCCATTTTTTGATAATTAATTATATATTAATTATCAATTAATTAGTACATCCTAAAGCCTAATCCCAAGAATGAACTCAATTTTATTCTACATGATCTATCACACCAATCACTTTCTATAAGGGACTTGTGAAAGGTGGTAATCTAAACATACCATGACAACTTGTTTACGCACAAAAGAAAATTTGTGTCAAAATTGAAGTTTGAAGTTTGAACCCTCCTTTTTGTATGTTTGCCCTTTTTATTTAACTATTGTGTTACGATATATATTTGGATACAAAACGATGGCATTATAATGATAAACATACCAAAAAGGATCTTCTCATTGACAAAACACGAAAAAGATAAACATCCCAGTAGAATTACAATTCGTTCTTTTCACCTTAAACTAGCTCCAAGCCTCCAACACCTGCTATTGTCTACAATGCAACTGTTACATGTTTTCATAATGTTAACTCCGAACAACCTCACCACTCCATCATCCTGAACCGCCGCTAAAGGCTCAGCAACCCGCCCAGCAGGTATCTCTCTGAACCGCAGACTATCGACGTTTCTAGGTCTACATTCAATGAACAGCTTCTTATCCTCCCTTACCGATCTCTGAAACCTCAAAACATCACCAGCTTTCAACTTCTTCTCCTTCACAAAACGTGTCCATCCCTTGGTCAACACATAACTCTGACTACTACTCCAATAACAATACCTAAACCTCCACACGTTCCCTTCCTCATCCTCAAAATTCAACAAAACCCCTTTACACAGTTCTACACTCTCATGAACCTGAAAATGCTTCTCAGCTTGTTGTTTTGGTATCACCATACGATTCAACCTCCCTACGTCGCTTGGCGTCGCCACCTTCTCGAAAAGCAACTCCCTCTCATAACACGCGTCAGTTGGATCGACGTGACACTTACTTCGCTTTCGACCACCACCACGAACTCCGGCGTTCAGCAACTTATGCTTGTACATTTCAAGCTCGTTGACGTACGAGTGTTTTCGAAGCATGTCAACGATCTCAGCCTTGGAATGGGATTCCAAGAAAATGGCCTCGTTGCCATCTTCTATGTAGGGTTTTATTTGGCTCTGACAGAAGTTTGTGATGGCAGCAAGTCCCCGGAACTTTAGCAAGGCAATGTCGTAGGTCTTAGCAGCTTCTTCTTCTTCATTGAAGGTTCCCAACCACACACGTTGGTGCTTCTCATATATTTGAGCCCCCCATCTACCATTGGGCTGTGGTACTACTCCCTTGTACCTAGAAGAAGGCAACTTGTTAGAACTTGCATCCTTTACCCCATTATTTGATGAGTCACTCGTGCTCTCATTCAAGCAATCCATCACATGCATTGGTCCAACTAAATTTAGTTAATAAACAGCACAGCACAACAAAAGTAAATGGAAGGGACTACATATAGAGAGTGAAAGGTATCTAGATTTACTCGATCCAGCCGCTGACAAGGAGGAGGTTCAGACACTAGGGTTTTTTTATCCCGAGGAAGAAGAAGACGAGTTGAACTCTTGTATTTCTGATATTGATATAGGGTTGAAGCTCATAGGGAGGCTCATTTTTTTTTTCCTGAAATATGAGAAGAGTGTATGGTATATTATATAGTTGTGTCGATGCGTGGGATGGTGTACTTAAAGTAAGACCAACTTGAGCAAGTTGATGGGTTCAACTAAAACTTTTTACATTTTTTTATGCAAAATTCATCCCCCTTGATCGAACTCTCCGCTGTTATTAAAACCTTACCTGATCTGATCTCATGGTGCCCTAGTTGCCTGCTTTTCACATCTCCAGAATAATAATGTGTTGGGAGGCAGATTCTCTGCTCTCTCTCACTTTTCTTATCCTTCTGCGTTATGGTTAAATCACGTCAATTTTTTATATTATTTTTTATAAAAATAATAAAATAAAAATAAATAATAATATCAAATATTGATATAATTTAATCGCGATTACACAAATAAAAAGATATAAAGGAACACGAAAAGTAAAAAGGCAGAGAATCTTCCTCCAATGTGTGGAGTTTTTGAAGCCCTTTCCTTTTGGCTTTTGCTTTCCTTGTCCCATCCAAACCTTATCTCGCAGTATCTTCACCACAGTACTATGATCTGTTGCAGCGCTTGTTTATTAGGTATTTAATGTGGGGGAGAGGGGATGTTCCTCGATCGGATGGGATAGGTTGAAATTTCCTAGGCTGGACGTGGCACGTTTTGATTGGCTCAATACGTACGTGGCCTTTTGTGATTGGTTATTGCATAAGGGATATTTGTCTTATTGTAAATAGGGTTCACACTTGGTAGTTGTGAAAGTCACTAGGATTGCAAAATATTATCCTTTGCCCAACATATGGCAGGTTATCCCACATTTCGCTGTATCAGGTCTGGTTTGTTTGTCAGTGCATGCATTTGGCAAGAGAAGAATTACTATTATAACTTTTATCAAAAACTTGATGAACTGAATCTAGCTAGCTACCTGCTATTCCCAGGTAAAACATTTGGTAGAACATATTCAATTGTGTAGTGATATATAATAATATATGTGCATGAATGCATGAGTTTGTGACCAAAATGCAGAATCAATTGTCATATCCATCGTTTGAGTTTTCAGCTCAAAGAATTGGCTTGGCCAATGATTCATAAAATCTAGTTGAAAATAACCATTAAGAAAAGCCTTCTTTTAAAATTGTACTCTCTCCTGGTCTTCAATATACCTAATATATACATTGGCAGTGGATATACGTACATTGACAATATTGACAATAAACTTGATATGAAAGAAATAATTGAGTGTTCTATGTTAATATGGTCGATGCGTCAATATTTTCTATCTTGTTGATATACTTGTCAAACTGAATGACATATAAAACTAGATGTAAATACATATTTGAGAAAATGCTAGATGAGATTGGTGGTTTTGTGGGAGGGGTGCTAAACCAATTGCTTTAAACGAAATTTTGATAATGAAAATCTACAAAGTTCATTGTATTTATTTTATTTTTTGCATCCAAGCGAAATTGAGGGGTCAAATGTAGGATCGGAGCTCAAGCACCAATTTGTGTCCCACTAGTAGGGCTTCGTATTTCCTTCGTTGTTGCTTTTCTTGGAACTCAAATTTTAGGACCTCCATGAGTGGTGCATCCAACTTTTCTCTCAGGGTTAAGGTGAAGCCCAGACGCCACTTTGAATAGTCACCCTTAGTTATCTACTCTGCCTCAACCTCTTTGAGGGAATATGTTAAAGCTTCTTGCCCCATAGCCTGTAATGCTTAAGGAGAACACCAAAGAAATATTGAACGATTTCATGTGTAAAAATAGTGGGGAGTGCCGCAATTTTCTCCATATTTAATCCTTCAATACCTCCAGTGAATTGATAAATACTTTTAACCAGTTGAGTTCTAATTCCCCATACTTTGGACATTGACCATTTATATATTGGTTTGGGCTATGCATTCATGAACTTTGTTTTGCATATTGGGCTTCAATCCAAAAATCGGTTTGCAAGGGCTTCCACAGTTATATCTATGATCTCTCATGTGAAAGAAGTACCGAGTTTTAATCTAAGAATCCGACCCCAAAGATTGAATTATCAAAGTCTAAAGGATCACAAAATGGACCACCCTAGTCTTGTGTGATGTTTGCTACATACACACATCAACTAGAAAACGCATAAGATGGGTACAAAATAGCTCATTACTCTATCCAGATTGGAAGTTTCTGGGCAGAAACAGGATGGTCCATCTTGTCTGGGGTTTGTGGAGTGTTCTGAATAGATATTGCACATTTGGGATTCTTTACTATGTAAGTTTCTTTGTTATTTGTCTTACAGTTATTTCAAAATATCGGTCATCATTCTCTTTTGTGGGGAACCAATTCCCGAAGAAAAAAAAAATAAATAAATAAAAAGACGGTTTCGCCCTCGGTGAAACTATGAACTCAGGTTCAGGCTCAAAATAATAACATTTTTATCATTAACTAGCCACACTCTTTTATTTTTCGAAAATGAACTTACGTCCGCTCATTTTCTTCTTTTGTAGATTAAATAAATTTAAAAAAAGGGACAAAAATGAATGTAAATGCGCACAAGGTAATGGACGTGTAAAAATAATTTTCACAATGTTTTCTCGCATATGTCGTATACAACTCGTGATAGGAAGGAACTACTGCACTAAGGTGCTTTGGAAACACCAGCTTTAGGTTCTACTGTATGAATTTCATTTTCATATATAGTATGTTTCTCTACATGTATGTATGATTTTGTTCAACACAAAACAAAATGAAACTCAATCGTTTCTTGCTTGTTACATTGGAAGGAATTGGGCTAATTTTATCCCACTTGAGACTTCCGAATCTATCTCGCTGGGGCAAATATCAAGATTCAAGAGGCTCTCAAACATTGATTTTGAAGAGAAACATAAGAAATATGTTGAGAGTGAATTTTATATTGAGAAATGAGAGACCCTGCATGTGCTTATTAAGCAACCTTCTATATTGCCAATTGGTTCTATGGGGGAACCTCAACTTCTTCATCATATCAGAGCAGGTTATCTCATGTGTGAAATTCAATAGTCACACGTGCTCAACGTCAATCAATTTGTGTTGTCTATGTGTTAGGCTTGAAAATTTGTCATACTTGAGGCGGCGTTTTGTGAGTGAGTCTCACATCAAAAAAATAAAAGACCTTACATGTGCTTATGAATAAGTAAGCTACTCCATATATTATCAATTAGTTTTCTAGTGCAACCTAAATTTCTTCAAAACAAACCAAAAAATGTTCCATTATTCCCATGTTTTGCCTGGTAGGTTCCTCTTAAGATTTCCTTAGAATCTTTTGGAATCAAGAGCTTCTCGCAATTTGGTCAAGCTAGAGTACTTTGTACAATTCAAAACCCAAAGATTAATTAAACAAAATCCCCCAAAATCTTGTTGAGATTTGCACAGTCTGATCCCAAACGAAATTAGGCGACTTAATACACTGAACAAATTAGTTTAGAGATATTCGGAGGAACGTAATCTTTTATTTAACTAAGAACAAACTTTGTCCGTTCTTCACTTTTGTTTTTATGCCCAAGTTTAAAATAAACCCTAACGAATTAGAAAACATTGAATGGACACAATTGATCGGAGCCCGAAAGGCCCCCTCGAATCATGAACAGTACAAAATCGATGTTATCTCAGGCAGCACCCATGACCCTCACGAGGGTCTCGCGTGCTGGGGTTGTCTTGTTTTGGATTTACAACCATGGCGACGTGACTAGCTAGTTATGTGTTCCTCAACAATTTCTTGAAAAATATTGTTTGATTGCATATACAAAAATAACTCGTTAAGATAGGCACAATCACATTGTTAAATTGGATGTATAGACTGTAACTAAATTTCTCTTCCTCTAAAGTGAAAAATAGAACAACAGGTGTCAGTGTGACCAGTTAGCTACGTCATTCTAATATTGTTTACTATAAGATACTCTTTTTGAAACTAAGGAGAATTTGAGCTCGCGTGGAAAGAGATCTGAACACTTTCTTAGCCAACTAATCTTAACTTACATCCTAAACCTTAACTCTTTGTAATTTATCAAAGAACACTACTTGGCTCATTAAACGAAGATCACAATTTCAATACATTACAAAAGTAACAAATCACAATTTAACATCATAAGTAGAATTCTTTATGAACTATCTGTCACCTCACAATTTAACATCAATTTCCATGCTAATATTATAAAACATTGTACTAAAAGCATGAGATAATAGAGCATTTTTAGATAGTCTCCTTAACATTTCTCTTCCTAATAAACAACACCTTACATGGAAGCATGCCAATATTAAAACAAAAGAAGAGCCAATCAATACTTTGAGACAAGAACCTGGACCAATTTTGACAATGGAGGTCGTCAATTCAGATTTGAATTTTTTTTATGGACTTTGTCTCCTGAAACTGGATCTTCTATGAGGTTCTTCATCTATAATGTAAAAGCTGCAATGGGTCCTACTGTTTGCTCTAATAGCTTCCTGGAAACATCCTATTCAAGATGGGCCAGGCCCAGAATCAGATAAGGCTTAGATTGGACTCACCTGACCCTTTCCGGCAGGTAAAAAGATATGGAGTCTAATTCAATCAAAAAGCTGTTTTGATGGGATTTATTTTATTTTATGAATTAATGTCTCCCATTCATTTGGTGGATGACAGTAGATTAAGCATATAGTATGCCAAGTACTAACCTAACTCGCTAACCAAAATATACTTAACTTTTGGTTTGCCCCAAAAATATACTTGTAGTAGTGTGCATCGTTCATATGAAGATTGAAATGAGAGATTTTTCAGCGTGCCTGAAATAGAAGCACATACGTTATATGTTATTATACAAGTAGGGGGACATTTGAAAAAAACAAATATCTTCCATTTGTATAATAGTATATGGTGTGCCGTATTGTGTTATGGGTATATTAAAAAAGATTTCCGAACAATGCTTTGAGAGCACTCTAAGTCTCTAACTATGGCAATTTGTGCTAATGATATATTGATATGTGTATTTTTTTACATAGCATTGACATACAACAATGTTGTACTTGTATCATGTAAATCCTTGTCTAGGTGAGCACACATTAAATTAGATTTGTTTATATGAAATACTAAGGTAAACCTACTATATGGGTTTGAAATTTTGCATTCCGTACTTACTATAAGGTACAATAAAATAAGTTGGGTTGGTCGGTCTCTTGGTATAATAGAAAAATTATTGTTTGGTATTGAAAGTCTGAAACATGTTATTACTTGGTATTATTAATTCACTCATATTTTAACATAATTGGTTAGTAATGCTCATACCATAAGTTATAAACTCGTCGTCCATCTGGATTATAAGACACAAATTGATTATATTGTAGGATTCTCCCCCCAAATACAAGTAAATTTAGAAGATAATTTTCACACACTTATTTTTTCCTCATGCACATCCCTTTATTTTTTGCAATTAAATTAAAATAAATAAATAATAATCAAAGGATATAAAGAAATATAAGTATGCCTAAAGAGAAAAAGGCTGTGCAAACAATTATTTGCCTTTTAGTTTTTGGTGAAAGTCAGTACCACCAAGTGTCTAATAAGTACTAGACCAGCCTCTTTGGTCAGCCCTAATCAAAATCAAATCACTTATTATGCATATATTCCCCAAAACTTAAGGGATTAAGATTTGGTTCATGCTCTAAGTTAAGTTGACCTAATTTTTTTTTCTTTTCCAAGTGACATACATGGGAGGAGCACGAGACTAAACATGTGGGATTATGTTTCATCTGAAGGCCAAAACAATCAGATAATCAAGTAGCTAATTTTAACTTTGGTAGGGTTTGAAGAAGCATCCCAGATTCTCTGCAAGTTTTGAGTTTCGAGCTTCAATATTATAGTAATTTGCACACACCATGTTGTCTCGCACTGTTCGTTCGGATCAGTTCCACCAATATCCTATTGGATATATCCCATGTAAGTGGAAACTAGACATCTCCTGCTCTATCAGACTTTAAACACACACACACACACACACACACACACACACACACACATACAGTTCCATGGTTATGTTTTACTTTACGAGCATTAATTATTAAAAATGTCACCTACTTAAAGTTTATTTAGCAATTTGACCTACCCGGAAGAAGCTAGCTAGCAGAAAATAACTCAAATTCTCGGAGCATATGTGAATTCAATATGATTGTGAAAGAAAATTTTGACTTATCAATGAAATGATTTTTTATTTAATAAAAAGAAAATTAGCCGCAATGAAGATTTTATAAGTTTTAATTATAAACTGATTAATCAAATATCGACAACATATTAATAACATATTGACAAAAAAAATTACAATTTGACCCTCAACAATTGAAATTTGTATTTTCACCATTTCAGCCACTTTCAATAAAACATACTAGCATATGGGCACACACAGTGATAGAGAATGTAGGAGTAGAAAGTTTTTTTTTTTAAATTTTTATTAGAGATATGTTAAGATTACATGTAGGTGAGGTTTTGAAAAAAAAAACAGCAAATTTTGGTTGTGTGAAATTACATTTCTGCCCCGTATTTCTTATTCATGTTCTGTTTTAATTAGAGGGTTAAACTGATAATTTCATAGAATTTTGGTTGACAATGAGTGTTTTATTAATTAGTAGAGATAATAGAAATCAGTTTTTCTAGGCCAAGTGGAACATTTTCACGTATGATGGGAGCAGAAAATTTTTGGTTTTATTTTTTTCATAAGGAAATCATCATCATTATTATTATTATTATTTAAAGAAAAAAAAGTGTCATACTCATTGATGAAATCATTATTAACAGTTATGCTTTCTTTAAGTATTTTTGTTTGGTCAATAACAATTATGCTTGATTTCTTGTATCTTGAGCATGCAGTCGGACGACGTGATAAGGAAACATCAGAATTTTACCTAGAAGTTGTAATAATTCAGGGGCTGGGGAACACTGGCATGCCAAGTTGCTCAAATATCTATGAATGTAACTCATTTTTCAGATGATTTTATTTTTTATTTTTTTTGTTTTTGTTCTGGTTTTTGTTTTTAATGAATGGCCGACCAATTTTCCTGGTAGTTGATGCCCACATAAATGTTGGTGAAGAGGATGACGTGTCAGACAGATACAAGGGGGATAAGGGGTGATTTGAAAAATTGAAAAATTGAAAAATGGAAATTTAAGTGCATGGAATTTGGAATCCTGCAGGAAAAAAATGGGTAGGGTTTTGGGTGGGGGCCTACTGCTACGTGCATTTTCTTTTGGAACCTTGGACCACTTTCTCTATTTATATCAACCCCTCCCAAGCTTCCTTTCAAAACATAGCAAAGAAGTTTGGAATCTCTGTGTTTCTCCATCTCTTTCTTTGTTGTGTATTAACAATATATACATCTTTATATATATTCGGGCAAATTAAGCGGAAGAAATAAAGAGAGATATGAAGCTTAGCAGTTCAGGCATGGAAGCTAATCAGTCCAGCAAGAAAAATAGGGTTTCATGCAGAAGGCTTGGAGGGTATCTTCGACAACAGAAAGGAAGGCTCTACATCATTAGGAGATGTGTAGTCATGCTTCTCTGCTGGCATGACTAATTTTCCATTCATCAAGTCTTCAACATTAGTCGTTTATTCAGAGTATGAATCTCATTTCGGGAAATTATGACATGATATATGTGCTTAATCCAACTTGAAGCAAATTAGCAACCATTGCTAGCAGCTGCAGTGAAGTTTTCAGCAAACAATTAATCAACTCTCTGCGTCTCTAGATCTCTCTCTGATGATCTGTGCCACCGTTCTCCTTTATGATGATGAGGTGTAAATAGCAATGAGAAATGCTGGTGATGATGAAAATTGTTTTTTCTTTCCTGCAGAAGAAAGCCTTTCTTTTGGGCATTTGTACTATAGAAAATCTCTTAACTAATTAATTAGATATTCCCAGCCAATTTTAGAGTATTTTGTCTCCTTTGCGTGTGTGTGCATATTTTACTAGTTTTGGTCGTTTAATTAATTCTTGGGTCATCAATTTAATCAATTAATAAGTACTTCATTGGGTAAAATAAGGGTGAGAAACAGATAAAGTAACCCCTAAATTTGGCAAATATTGCTCAAATTCTTTTTTGTAGCAAATATCATAGAAAGGGACTATATATATATATTCTTCAGCCTCTTGTTACATGTTTTCTCTAATTAGAGAAGTGATCTTTTATTCTCTAGTCAGAAAGATAAAATGCAGGGCCAAAGAGGCAGCTATATTCCGGGAAGAAAAGAAAAAAAGGACCCTGTGAATCTGTGATGCAATATCACAGCTGCCTGCCACCACATTGGTGATAAGTGTTGCGTATTTTTGTTTGTTTGAGAGAGTTTTGAGTGTTTCCAGTTATGCTCATCTTTTTCGTCATAATACATGTTTGTATGCTACTGTTGATAAATTATATTTTCTCGAGCTTGTAAGGTGTGTTTTTGATTTTATGGTGTTGTCAACTCAGCTTTCAAATGCATATTGAAAAAGTATGGGTGATCACATGCGAGTTGTACCCTACGATTGGACAATTTAAATTCTACTTTGGATTCATCTTCATTTTAAGCAAACCTACTACTGTTCCTTTCTACCACCTCACATAAGTAACTACTAAAATGACTTTACAACACAAACCCTTAATGGCTTTGTTTTTAGTACCTGGTCCATCAAATTCCCTACTTCCATGAGAAAGTAAAAAGAAACTATACGGGTTATATTCATGCACTCTTTTCATTATTTCAGTTTATTACTTTTTTTTTTCCTTTGTTCAATCTAAAAGATATAAGAAAAAGAAAATATGCACGTGAAGAAAAGGACAGTGCAAATATCACTTGACGTATTTATATATATATGGAACTAGGAGCACTGCAGGACAATATTAACATGGGATTTGCCAATTAATAAGAACCTTATCTCTACTGATTTCAAGGTTAGCCTGGCCTGCAAACATGCATAAGTCCTAGCTAAAAGTCGTGACACATACCAAATGAAAGTAAAAGCAAGATGAAATTAGGTACGCGTAATGTACACACATATATCCACCTTACCTAACCACCTAATGAAGGCTGTTGGCAGCATATACCTAAGCCAATATAATGAGTACTGCTCAAGATTTTCTGACTGAAGACTTGATTATTGGTATATTGATTGGTCCAGCATGGATTGAAAGAGAAGCCGGTTCGACAAGAAGTTTTTGAAAAACGCAGTGCACCTAGGTAAAATAAGGAACGAGATAAATACAGAGGTTAAACGAGCATCCCACACTCTTTAGCTAAGAGCAGCTCAGAGATTGAGAGAAAAAACTTTGTTGCTTTCAGATACACATGTAATGTGGGAGAAAGACACAATTGGTTTATGTATTGAGTTTGTACCAGTCGATGTGGAGTTGAGTCAGAGTAGAACAAATGTTGTTTATATTATTAGAAGAAAAAGGCCATTATATATAGTAGATTAATATTCTACTAAAAACTTGAAAATTCAAATTGTCTTGAAATTATGAGTTGTAGTTCACCAAAAGTATAGTTATGAACTATATATCAAAGTTGTGCCCTAGTCGAAAATTGAGAAGGAGATGCGAGATCTCAATTCACATATCCATTCATCTTGATCCATCAAACTTTAACATATGTTAGTTCTCCAAACGTTATGGGAAAAAAAAAGTGAGATGAGTTGATTTTCTAATGAATAGACATAAATGGGTTACATTTTGAAAAAATCCAGAACCTCAAGCAAGTATGAAAATTAACTTAATTAGGGGACGTGTTTGGCATATATCATGTATGAAATATCCATCCCAACTAAAATGGAAACAAAAATGGTTAATTAGACGGGAAGAAAGAATTTAACTCTCAGTTTCGATAAAAACTAATATGACATGAATATAATAACATGTTCTGAATCAATATCACATCATTAGCCTAAAACTTTACAACCACATGATAAACGCGTTGCACCTTTATCTCCTACTCAGTCTCACTGGATTGAAGATATGAAACTGAAAAAAAAAAATTATGACGCGGGTCTCACTAAATTTATGGCTCCTGTGATTGTAGAAGTCACATGCACGTGCAGTATGTGTTATAAACCCAGATACGCCAGCATCCTACAGTAATTTCATACTGTTTGCGTTTGGTCCCAAAACAAAGGACAGAGAGAAAAATAAAAGTAAAATTATGAGCATGGGAGGGCAAGTGAGAACATAACTACAAGTCAGGAACTACACAGTAACCACTCGTCCTTAAATTTCTTTTGCGGCCAATCGCAATCTGCCACTCACGATCCGGGAAACGACAAGGTGTTGATTGGTCAAAATGGCAGCCTTATCATCCCCACGTGCACCTCCTAATCCTCAAGCCCCACCTCTGCATCCTCCACAACTTCTGTCGGAATCTTTTTCAATCAGAGCTAATGACTTGTTTCTTACGTTCATACTTCAAAGTTTTCAGTTCTGGTTTTGTTTTAGAGCATATGTACGTATTTATTTTTAATTTTTTAATAATTTTTTTATAATTTTTGATCATCAAATCGAATATATTAAAAAAATAATAATAGTAAAATATTAACAAGAGTTCGTGGAGTTAAAAATGAGAGTAGGATATATGATAGAGTTTTCTTAAATATAAAAATTTGAAAAACAAGAAAAAATACATAAATGAACCAAAATATGCTGGAAATCTGATGAGCCTTGTGTTTAAAGAATTTCCTCTGTCTAATTGATAATAGAAGCCCCTCTTCTAGTAGTGCTCCTACGTACATATTGGTATATTGTGACTAGAGTAAATTGTAGCAATAATCCCTTAACTTTAACTCAATTGGAGCAATAGTTCTTCAACTAAAAATCCATTATCATTGGTTCCTCAACTCATCAAAACGTGCAGCTATAGTCTTTCAACTAAAAGTCTACTACCATAGATCCCTCAACTCTAATCCAATTGGAGAAATGATCCATCAACTTTAACCCAATTGGAGAAATGGTCCTTCCAACATAACTCATTTTGACAAATTATGACAAAGTTGACGAAAATGATCATAGCTACACATTTTGATGAGTTGAGAGACCAATCGTACGTAATGAATTTTTAGTTGAGGGATCATTGCTCCAATTTGATTAAAGTTGAGGGACCATTGCTACAATTTACTCTTGTGACTAGGGCCCAATGGCATAATCTGTCATGAATGTGTCTAGAGCTTTAGTGTTGCAGGCCTGAAGAACGTATATGCTGACCAAATATAGCTGGGTAGAGACCAGAAATTAAGATTCTTGATGTATGGAATTTGAACCCTAAACCCTAAATCTCTGTCATTAATACTTTGCAAGGATCTTAATTTCTGGTTAAAAAGGTTAGAAGAAAGCACATTGATGCACTGCCCGCAGTATTCCATTTACATATTCCCTAACGAAGGATCACATATATAACGAACACTTCGAGGAGTTCAGAAAATTAAGCCAATGCCTGTCTGCACAAATACTATAAATTAGATCGATGAGAAAACTATAAGAATCATTTTCCAACTTACAAGTACATATACGTTACTCATATTCGAAAGCTTTTCACACATGCACTCAATTTTTCTGTCGTCCATATGCGTATCAGCATATGCACCCTTATAGCAGAACTGTCAAGTAAGCTCAGTTTTAATAAAGTTCAAGTTACAAGAAATCCAGCATTTCATTACTGTATAGACTATCTGATATATATATCTATCTGCTTAAAGTACGTTGGAAGATTGGTTTATTTAGTACTAAGGAACATTTCTATACGTATAGGACGAGCCTAAAAGATTAAGTTTGAGCGGTTCTTTGTTTTGAAAGGGTTCCTATTTAAGCCAACTCGATCATCGTCTAGCCAGCAAAGCAGTCCAGTCTGTTAATCAACCTGTTAACGATGCATGATTACTAATTAAAAGTCAGAGTGTCGGACTAATCGTAAATCTCTTTTAGGGACTAATTATAAGATTAGTATGTATTGATGCACAAAATCAGCGAGGACTTTGGTACAACAGAAAGTGTCAGGTTTGTGACCTTCGCTTGGTTGCTTCGATCACTAGTGAAGATAAGTACGTAAATGAATAGGGACATGGAAGCAAACACAAGATGTACGTGGTTCACCCAGATCGGCTACGTCCACGGAGTAGAGGAGTTCTCATTAATTGTGAAGGGTTTACACAAATACATAGGTTCAAGCTCTCATTTTGTGAGTTCTAGTGAATAGTTTAGTACAAAATGACATTAGAGATTATTGTGGGAGAATGATCCCTATTTATAGAAGAGAGTTTCTAGTTGTGTTGTAACATTGACACGTGTCGAGCTGTGATTGGCTTCTGATGTCGACACATGTCGCATTGTGATTGGCCTCCTGGTTGAAGGGAAGCTCTTCTGGGTCTTTGACGGTATAACGTTGACCGGTGCTCAGTAGTTTCGGGATTGGTCAAGTATGGTACAAACAGTGCTCCCCTAAGTTCCCGAGTGAGGGAAGCTCTTCGGTTGGGGACTTGCAAGATCCAAGCCATTGAGTAATCACGAAGCTTCTAAGTACTGAAGTGTGGTATCATTTTCACGTGTCTTATCTGTCTCATATGTAGATGTGGCATCTTTTCTGGAAGTACTTTTCCTCTATCCATGGGTGGTATCTTTAACCGATGAAGATGCACAAGGTAATGTATCAATTTCACTTGAAGCTTACTTGTAGTTTCGGGCTTGGTCAAGTGCGATACAAACCCTATAGTAGGAGTCCCCCAAGTCACCGAGCTAGGAGATTTGCCGAAAGAGGTGACAGACAAGGTAAGCAGTCAAACTTTCAAGCAAGCAACCCAGGATCGGAGGTTCGACTTCGGCTTCCGGTTGATTGTTCTCCTTCTCATTGTCTCTCATTCAGCTGCCAGGATAAGGAGAAGCAAATGGAGAAGAGATGATATGAGATACTTTTGCTTTTGAAGA